ATTGGGCAGCAGATGGTTGGCTCGTTCATGTGTGATGGGTTCAGTCATTCAACTACGCTCCTAATGACATTTGTGCTGCTTTTGCTCAGCTTTTACATAAGCTGTTGTTGTTTGCTTTCTTTCCGGTCCGACACTAGAGGACGCCACACGGGACTTGTCCTCAGGGTGGCGGGTGGGTCGGGCACTTATCAGGGTACATCCCCTTGACTGGTTGCCTGTAAATGTCGGCACGCAAGAACACACAGGAAGGCTGCAGCTGAGATTTCAACCTGCCAACTGTGCAGCAGCACTGCTAATCAAGAGCCCGTCGCATCACTTTCCCTCGTTTAAAGTATATTAAAAGGGGAGGGGCGGGGGGGATATTTTTTTGCATGGTAGCACCCCCCGGTGACGTGTTGCCACGGCAACGGCCCATCCGTGGCGTTGAAGGTGACACACGAGGACAATGGGCCGTGTCGAAGCAGGCAACGGCGACATCGGACTCTCGAAAACAAGAACACACGAGGGATGCACAGCCAAAAACGAAATATTGACCCGATTAAATGTTACCGTTTTTAACGGTATGAACAAACTGCGCTGGCCGCCATTTTCACCACATCAAGTCAAACCGTAACGAGCCTTACGACTGTTGTATATTAACTGTAACTGCATCAACTCTAAGCAAATATGAACGGTATGAAGTGAAACACCTGAAAACATTCCTGAAGTAGTTGAGCGCGGCCGTCAAGGCTCCGGGCTGCGACAGCGCGTACAGGTACGCTTCCAGCTCCTCAGCCGTCAGCCATCTCCCTTTCCGGGCCATTCCGGTGCTGCGGCTGGTGAACAAGGCCTTCAGAGCCTTGGAGGCGACCCCCCGAAAAGACGGCGTGAGTCAGAGAGAGAGAGAGAGAGCGAGAGAGCGAGAAGGCATTGGGCCGGGAAAGCCAGCGTGTCCCCACTTTACGTGGCCAGGCTCCGACTTCCCGCTGGCAGCACAACACAAACAAACACACACACTGCATCACCTCCGTATGGACGTGTTATGTAACGCCACCTTTCAGTCTCATCAACTGCCAAAAAAAAAAAAAAAAAAGTGTGGGGACACCGACAAGAACTTTGACTCGCTTCTGGTAATATTTAGAGGACAGAACATTTCTGGTGGTCGAATGGAGCCTTTTGCCGAGACGATTTAGCGGTTTGATGACAAATAGTGGGATGAAATGATCATTTTCATAGCCGGATGTAGCGATAGCAACATCATGTGATGAAAAGTCTTGATTTCCGTTTAAGGCCGCGTTTTTGGGAGCCAACGTGGACTGACTTGGCAGCAAACTGCCTTTTCCTGAAGAAACTGCGGTTTTAGTTGCAAGACAGAACATTTCCATCGCCTAATGTCGCCTTTTTGTGAGCACCTGGATTGCCACTTCCAAATAGAGTGTTGCAGGGCACTGCACCACGAAAGGTCCCGGAAGATAAAAATACTCATAAGGCGAACGGATTTTCCACAGAAGATTGCTGATTTTTTTTTTCCGCCCTCTACGCTTCTATTTTTAGCCTTCACTCTGATGCACTCTTAAAATAGACCACAGAAAGTGGGAAACACACACACACACACACGCACACGCACACACAGAACGAACAGACACAGGGATGCCCTTGAAGAGAGCCAAGGTCAAAGGGGAGGAAAGGAGCACCTTGAAGTCGTCGATGGAGAGCATGAGCTCGGGCAGGCGAGGCAGCTGGAAGAAGAAGAAGTGACTGCACTTCAACATCTGGCTGGGATGACGCAAGGCGTAGTCTGAACGACCAGAAGACAAGAAGGAGAGGAGGAAAAAAGAATGAGGTGGGGGAGGAAGGAACGGAAAGAAGGAAGGGAAGAGAAGCAGAGGCCAAACAGAAGAGTGACGAGCTGTCGTTCATGCAAATTAACGTCGACAATTAAAGCGATCACTCCCAGCCGCACCGGCCTCCTAATAAGATTGGCTGCCAGACGGCCGGGCGGAGAGAAAGAAGGCTGGACGGTTACCCGCGTGGACAGACGGGTGCGGACAGTTGAGGACGATGAGCTTGACCACCATCTCCGGGTAGTTGATGGCAAACAACCACGCGATGGTGCCGCCCCAGTCGTGACCCACCAGGAAGCAACGGTTGTAACCTCAAAACCCACAAAAAGGGAAAAAAAAAAATGTCAGGAGGACGGGTAAGACCGAAAAGGAAAATGTGGGAGGAGAAAGGAGGAAAATAACTGAAAGGGAAACAAAGACAAGAAAGCGTGACAGCGAGGAAGAACAGACAAAACACTGAAGGAAAGAAAGAGGACACGCAGGAAGGCAGAAGACAAAAAGGACGACGGGCAGGTGAAGTCAACTCGCCAGCCGTCACGTGGCGAGTCTGTAACCACGGCGACCGCATTTGAGCCAAGCCGTCACTCGTTTCAGGGCCCAAAAAGCGCCGCCGTCAAGCCGGTCGCCATGGCGACCGCCTCTGCACAGCGTCCGCGGTCTGCTCACCGAGGTGCTCCACCATGTCCTTGACGTCGGTGAGCAGCAGCTCGGGTCTGTAGCTGTCGGCGGCGAGCGGCAGGTCCGACTCGCCGTAACCTCGCATGTCCACCGCCACCACTCGGAACTCGCTCTTGAACTCGCGCAGCTGGTGGCGCCAAGAGAACCTGCGGCACAATGGCGACAACCCTTCCAAGACCAACGACGGGCATGTTTGGAACCGAAACAGAATTCTTGGGAACACAGCGGGACACATATTAAAAAAAAAAAAGGGGTGGGGGGTGTTAACCAGACCCCATCACCATGACTGTCCACCTCTGATCAATCCTAATACATTTTGCATAACTTAGCGATTAAAACATTGCTACGCATTGTTGACAGTACGATGTGATGTATTGTGACAGCGGCATTTAGGACAATTTGTTCCTTTTTTGAGGGGGGGGTGGGCAAGTTTTGTTTCCAAACGACATGCCCATTTCTCTGGAGAAGTGAAAACCAAATTGCCTTGACGTGGCTCCCGCATACAGCGAAGAGACGCCAACGCAACCCGACAACGTCGTTGACCCCAATCCACGATGCTCTTATATCATATCATAATCCAAACGCCGTAGGGGGAGGGTGGTGGTGGGTGAAGACATCTTGAAGGAGCGGGCTGATCCGCAAAGCGCTTTTTATGATTTATGGGAAAAGCAAAAAGGTGCGAAAAGGTGCCAGTGGACCGCCTCACTCACCAGAACTCGGGGAAGCCGTGCAGGAAGAGCATGAGGGGCTTGCCCCGCTCACCTGCCGCCACGTAGTGAAACCTCAGGCCCGACTCCTGTGGGCACGCAAGATCATCATCATCACAATTTCAATTGGGTCTCGAACACTGAAATTGGCTTCAAACGCGAACAGTGTTTGACTCCCCGCCTGAAAATCTGCTTCAAAACCCTAACTCAGGCTTGAAATCAGAAGTGAAGAATACTAACTGTTATTGTGGATTACATATGACAATTTGACATGTTGGTTCAGACTTTAGCATCATTTTGCGGGCCGAATGAAATGATGTGGTGGGCCAGATCTGGCCCCCGGGCCTTGACTTTGACACCTGTGCTGTATTGGATCGCATTCCGGGGCGCAGTTAATCAAGTGTCGAGCCTGCGGACGCCAGTGACGACAACACCGATGACGCAAGAGGGACGACAACACTTCTCGGAGTGAAGTTCCGCGCGCACTCACGCAGGCAAGGCGCAAGCTTCAGACAAAAACAAAACTCGCACGCGCGCAGCCTCCGTGATCACGACTCAAGGTGCGCGCGCTCACGGACGCCGCCACCCACCGAGCAGCCCTTCGCACGCCCCCCCCCCCCCGACTCGTGCACGCGCCTCTCTCCCTCACACTCACCTTGATGCGCACGTAGCAATGCGTGCCCAAGGACGTGTCGTGCAGACACGCCGGCGGCGCCTCGCGCGGCGTCCAGCGGAAGGTGGCCGTCGGCCGCGCGATGGCGCTCCAGCAGAGGCGCAGCAGCGCGGCGGCGCCGCAAAGCGCGCAAAAGGCGCCGACGAGCGACCAGTAGGCGCAAAGTCGCAGGCGCAGCGCCAGACGGACGAGCAGCGGAGGCGGCAACGTGCGCGGCGGACGCGCCATTTTCGCATCGCGTGGCGTCGCCGCGGACGCGTCTCGGAAGGGACGGAGAGGATGAGGACGAGGAGGAAGAAGAAGAAGATGAAGAGGGAAAGGAGCGAAGGGAGGGAGGATCCCGGACGACGAGCTGCTCAATGGGATGGACGATAGAGAGGAAGGAAGGAAAAAAAAAGAGAAAGGGAGGGAGGCAGGGAGGGGGTGGGAGGGTGTTGTTGTTGTTGTTTGCGGCCGACCAAGAGTTAATGTTCTTTGATATATTAGAGTAGAACACGTTCATTAAAAAAAAAAAATCAGTTTCATTTTTTAAAATGTATGATTTGTAAGGATCCAATTTAAAATAACATCTACAATAAAATAAATTTTTTAAATCCAAATATGCTCCCAAAAATTGATTAATTGCTTTATGACTTAATTGCAAATACAATGAATTTTTGAATTTATTCATTTAAAATTAGTTTTTAATCAGTTCTCCTAATTAATGCACTGTAAATAAATATATTTCTAAAATGTACAAACTTTTTCCCCCATTGAGTCATATACAGTATGTATACATGTGCTTTCGAGTTAATTTGATGTATAATATTGTACTAGTCTTTAAAAATACTCCTTTACAAACACGATAATTCAACAAAGATTTTTTTGGGTCATTTTTGTGAATTCAAAAATGTACAAACAATTTTACATGTACAATACACCTAACATTTTTAAAATCAATTTTACACACATTTATTGCAATGTCACCCCCCCGCCCCCTACATTTTTTCCCCCAAGACCCCGACGCATCACCTTTAGTCGTGGAACTTGACAATATAAAAGCAGCAAACTCACCCAGATTGAAGACATTCGGTGACTTCCTGCATCTGCGCAAACCATGCTGAGGCCACAGCCGATTGCTTAGTGAAAATATTTTTTATTATTTTCAGGAATTAAGAAAAAAACAAACAACACAAACAAGCCTCTTCTCGTTTGAACGTATTCCAGGCGCAACATACAGAAGAGGCAAACGACTGTATGGCCAACAAAGTGCAGGACGTGTCAAACAACAAGAAGAGAACGCAGTGAATGAGGAAAGCATGCTCGCCAAATCGTGTTCTTTGTAAACAAAATGTCAAAAAGGTGCATGCAAACGTACGCGTGGCCCTATATCGACGCCACCGGAGTTTGAATTGGAATTTCTAAAATGTAGTCACACTTCTGATTTTTTTTTTTTTTTCTAATCATTCAATCAGAACTTTTGGATTGGAAAAAAAATATCTGGGTTTGAAATTTAAATTCAAACTCAGAATGCACATAACTTCCATCCGTGCGTTTTTTTTTTTTTTTTTTTAAACAAACACAAACAGCGAAAAGGTGCTACGAAGACAACAAACAGCGCACGTGCTGGGACCCTACCCAGACGTGAAAATGGGCACAGAATGAACCAAAGTGTAGCAGTGCGAACGTTCCCAAAGTCAAAGCTTTGGCGTGTGTGCGTGCATCAGTATTCACCCGAGGAGACTCAAGGCACTTTTTTTTTTTTTTTTTTTTTAAAGTCAGTCCCAGTGGTTTTGCTTTTTAGTCCAGGTTGAGTTCAAAAGTGGTCATGATGTCCTGTTGCATGGTCATGTCGATGCATGACATCTACCACAAAAAAGAAAAAAAAAATGCAGAATACATTTGAATCATATGAGGCATTCGTAAAAAATTGAACAAAAGATAACCAGATTTATAGTTTCATCTGTACTTTATTTATATCCTCTTTATTTTCACCCGCGTCCTGTTTCTGTACCAAACTGAGTTACTGAACTTTTTATGGATTCTCTCTCTCACACACACACACACACACACACACACACACACACACACACACACACACACACACACACACACACAATTGCATGGGCAGCGTCAGAACATGAGTTAGGCTTACACAGTTCACATCAAAGGTCAACCCCACATTAAATTTCCCAAAGTGCAATCTTTGAAAATGCAACTCTAATTTTAGCACGAAGCAAGAAAATAAATTTGTAACAAAGTCAAGTAAGAATATTGTAAATTAGTAGCAAAAAAATTTTTTTTAATAAAAATGACTGTTCCTGCTGTGTGTGTGTTGGCCTCCTCGGGGCAGTGTGGTATTGTGCATGCATGAGTTAAGAATAGTAGAAAAAGAACGTTGCAGTTGAGGTCTTTAAATATATCAATTGTTTTTGTTTTTTTTGCATATTTTGAATAATATGTACCTTAGAGTGTCGTTACCCGAGTCTTTATCTGTCTCTACGTGTTCCTATACCGTTTCTGTGTAAATATTCATTATTTGAAGGAATATCACTTCTGGAAGTTGATGCTAATTTCCCATTAGCATGTCAATGGTATTTTACATTGACTTTAGCATTAGCACTGGCAATGTTTATAAAATAAACAATGTCTTGTATTTCAATACAGAACGCGTGTGATTCTTTTTATTGCATTTTTAGTTTTACAGGCAACTCCGACTGGAGGTGTCATCATGAAACAGTTTCAAAAGGACGCCCCCGGCAGAGAGCAGAATCACGTCCATGTCGGGCACACCATGCCCTTGGGCACAATCATTTTTAAGATTTTGTGAGAAGCCAAAACCGATATGCCGTTCAGATTTCGCTGAGTTGCGCAGCCCTACTTACCGTCTCCCGCCTACGACGCTCCTGTTCCTTCTTTCTCGCCAGCTCCCGCGCTCGACTCATCGGGGACTGGGCACTCCCTAGCCAGGTCTCCACGGGTGACGTCGGCTGCTCGCCACCGCTGGGGACTTGTGGCGTCATCTCTTCCGAAAGGACGCAGCTACCCGAGATATTCAAGAGTTTTGTGATCATGATTTGGAGTACATTTTTAACTCTTAAGGGGCGAACAGTCGAAATGTATTGCTCACAAATTGTGGCCATTTGAGAGCGGGAGTACCTCTTTTCTGGAACCTCCAACTGCTTCTGCTTCAGTGCCTTCTGTCGCTCCTCCTTCTCCATGGCAGCCTTCCGGAACTGCTGGAAGCTCTCTTTGGACGACTTGATGGCGGTCGGGATGGCGGCTGACTGCTTCACCAGTCGGGCCCATGACTCGGCGTTTTTCAGAACTATGTCCTTAAAAAAAAAAAAAAAAAAAAAAGGGGGAGTTTAACTACAATAAAAAATTCCACCCATGACGTGTCGCGGTCTCCACAGGAAACATACGCTTTTAGGGTTTTTTCCCTGCAGGCTTGATTTGATGGGAGAATTGGAGGACGATGACACGTCTGCCACTTGACTGTCAGGAACATCTTCAGGGCATCTGGAAGCTGGAAGGGAACAAGTTCAGCTTTGTTTCAACAGTAATCCTAGTTCTGATTTTTATATAGTGGTACTGGTTGAGAGAAAAAACAGCATTTTGATTCTTCTGTATGCCCTTTATAGTCACCATAGACAAGTGACACAAAATTCCAGAATACTGTAATGTAAGACTTAGTTTCGTACGGTGACTTACCAGTTGTAATGACGTCTCTGGCAGGCGACGGGCTCTTCCCCAGCGGTGATAGGATGGGGGCCTTAAAAAAAAAAAAAAAAAAACTATTTAAAAAAAGGCAACTTTACTAGCAATGTGTCTAAATGAAAAGAATGCAACTATATTTTCGTGCCATGAAAATGATTAGTTTTATTCATTCATTCATTTATGATTTGAAATTCTTAAAAGGAGCTACTTGCTTTCAGTTTCATGACATGTGCAGTTCAGAAAATTGCAAAAAAAAAAAAAAAAAAAAAAAAAAAAAGTTCCTGGTTTGGATAAATAAATAATTTGTTCCTCAGCATATTTACCAGTGTTACCTCAAATCCAGATGTGGCCCAGACCAGTATAGTTTCAGGGGACGCCATGGGGGACAAGTCTGTTAAGGTTTAAAAATGCTAAAAGTAAATGCATTGTACAGGCGCATGCATAAATACATTTTTTAAAAAATATATAGATAGAACGGGAATGGGCAGATCACCTGGCGGGGGCAGCGTCTTCCCACCATCGCTCGCCCAAAGGCATTTGGTTTTTGTTTGCTTGGAAGCAGCAGGCGGAGGAGGAGGCTGTGTGTTAGCAGAGCGCCCCCTGTGGGTCAGGTTGACAGTGGCAGCCTGAAGCGTGACAAGCACCCGGTTGGCATCCTCGGCAGCTCAAAGCGTCAACAGCCGCAGGGAGACGTTTACCTTTGCAGTCAGCTTTTTACATGGGCCTTTAGCGCTCTTCTGGAGCTTTTCCACTAAGAGACAAGCAATATGCCGTTTAAAATGAAAACAGAAAACCTATTACGTGTGTATTTATTTGCAATCTTTATCGCAAGGGCGGTCAAAGTACGGTGCGGTAGGAGGGCCACATCACTTTGGTCATGAAGCCAGAGTCCTGTAATATCTGTTGCATTTCACATTCAATCCTTTAACAGAATTATTGCAAATACAAGAATAGTCAAACAGACAATTTTACAAATGCACACACATTGCCATTTTGTTCATTGCAACCAAATTTGGATGTTAAATAAAAAAAGACAAATACTATTTTAAGATTGTATTTTCATTAAACAATTAGTTGAATGCTCAACATTAAATCTAAAAAAAAATTATTCAGATGGAGTACTTTACATTCACATGAAACATTTAATGGCATCCCCAGTTTGACTTTTGTTTGGAAAAAGTAACTCTGACAATTTGCATGTTTCTGAAATATTAGTGATGGTATAACGGTACATGCATTTCTTATGTTGCATTCAATTTTGTAGATGCAGTTCACCCTTAATTTCTTCACATGATCGTCAGAAAGACACTTTCTACATATGAGCATGTGTCGCGAGGTCTGAAAATGCCGGTTTTCAAAAGCAGTTTTTTTTTTCAAACAATACATTTTCGTCATTGATTTTAATGTCTACAAAAGTAGGTCAAACGAGGGTCCCGCAGTGACAACAGCAAAGAGGCTCACCAGAAGACGAGTGACCGCTGTCCGAGGATGGCGAGCTGCTGCTGCTGCTACAGGAAGGTGATGAGAAGCTGCTGCTGCTGTTGAGCGCTGACGGGCAGATGAAATCAGGAGACTCAGCTTGTTTGCCTGGAAATGAAACAAACGATTGAGGGGTTAACCGTACGTAATGACTGTCTAGGAAGAAAAACAGATGCCGGACGAAAAAAAAAAACAAAAAAAAAACAGTTACTCCATATGGGGGCATCCATGTGAGTTGGCACAGCCAACAAACAAAAGTTGGAAGTCAAGGTATCACACTTTTGCACAATGGGCATAAACATCTTTAAATAATTCATTATTCATAAACGCATTTTACAAAAAAAAAAAAAAACTACATGACTACATTTGCAAAATTGTCAAACTCATTATGTATAAAATGAGTCAGAATAATGAATTTAGCACAACAGCCACCAAGAATTTTGGAATTTTTTTTTTCTTTTTGTGAAACAATGGCTGCAAACAATTGTTGATCAAAATAGTTGTGGATTAATTGTTAAACTGGTATATGAATTAATCCCAATTACAACGTCAAGTGTAACATGGGAAGGCGGAAACCTCTCTCACCTGCTGCCTTTTTCTTTTTCTTCTTCACATCCGGCAGCCGTTTAGCGAGCACCTTGCATCTCCCGGCATCCTTCAACTTGCCACAACGTGCGGCTTCCACACGAGTCTCCATTCCCCCCCCGACACCGTAAAAAGCCGCGCTCCGGTTGCCGTGACTACAAAGAAACGCTCAAATCAGGACTCGCTAACAAAGAATAAATAATTCATTGAAAAGGGTACATACAAAGTAGAAGTCTTGCTGTTTTTCTCCATGATAGATTGATATTTGGACGATTTGTGCTTGAGTCGAGTGATGTCCTTTTCTTTGGCCCTCCTCTCCTTCTTCAGCTTGTCCTTTTTTTTGGGTTTCATCAAGGGGTCCTGAGTGAGTCTCCTCAGCTGGGCACTCACCGCTTTCAACTGCACACGGCAGAATGAAAAATGAGCAATGCCACGAGGTGGGCTGTGTTCTTAATCGTTTGTGTCTTCCCTAATCACTACATGGGGAATTTTAAATAATGGCCTCCAAGTGTTGATCGTTTTTAGCATACCGACTATCTTGCAACAAAACAGAGGTCAGAGGACATTTGACAGACCTTCTCCTCCAAGTTAGCCAGTTGCGTGGCGACCTCCTGCGACGAACTCTCTGTGCCGGAAGAGCTCTCACTCTCATTCCCGGAGGCAGAGTAAGCGGCGGGCAGGTTTCCCACGCAGTCGCCTTGAAGCTTATCCAGCCAATGATGCGCCGGCACGCATCTTTCCGCCGGTTCCTGCGGAACCTTAGCGTAGCGCGCCTCGAAAACCTCCTGGTTGGTGACAAGTGGATACGTTCAAATAATGCCTGTGCACAAAGTTTCTTCACATTAAAAAAAAATAAAAAAATAAAATAAAAAAATAGTACAAATGCAAATGTTGAGAAATGTTAATTTGGTCGAGGGACTTAGTGGGTCCCAAAAATTTGATTCCCGTGGTATTTGTGCACATTTGCAGCACGGCGGAGACGGGAAGTTTGTGGCCCCACCCTCTCAAAAATACGTGGTGTTCTTGTAGGCTTTTCCTGCCACCCCCCCCGCCCAAGCAGAAGCCTGAAGTTGTTTGTGGTAAGAAAAGAATCACGCATACCTGCAGCTTCCGGGCCATGTAGACGACCTCGTGTGCAGGAGGGTTGTACTTGTAGCAATTGGAGAACATCAGCCTGACGTCAGCGGCAAACTCCTTAGCAAATGCGTATTCTCGTTGCTCCATTTTTTTCTGTATATATATATATATATTAAAAAAAAAAAAAAAAAAAAAAACAGAATTAAGGCATACCATGTTTTTTTCCTATTTGTATTTTTAACCATTGTTTGGAACCCAACTCTTGTGTGACACACCACCCTCACTTGAAACTGTCTTGCAACCCTAATATTTGTTTGATACCCTACTCTTGCCTGAAACCCCAACCAAAGCATGAAATCCTCATTTAAATCATAAATTCAAATCCTAAACATATCTTCAACCTAGCAAGTTTGAAACCCTAACATTTTTCTAAACCCTTATCCTCTTTGGATCCCCACTGGAACCGTAACTACCCCCCCCCCCCACCACTTCCTTAAACCCTAACTTGCCTTGATGGTGCCCAGGTCCATGGGTTGCTTGATGATGTCGTGGTAGTCGTGCAACGCCAGGGCCACGGTGTCCACGGGTGTGTAGAAGGGCCACGCGTAGGCGTAGTGCCTCTTGGAGAACATCTCCTTCAAGATGGCGTCGCAGTGCCGCAGGGGCTCGGGCAGTTTGGCGCGCATGTCCTCCACGTGACTGAGATCTTTCTTTGGCACCTTGATGGGGCGTCCGCTGCCGGTCCTCGCAGGCGGCGCGCACGACGCCGGCGCCTCGCTGACGCTGCTCGTGACTGCTGAGGGGACAGGTTCCATTTTTCTCTTGAGTGCTTTTTTGATCTGATCATTTCAAAGTGGGGGAGTGAGGGGGGACATCAAGAGCAAAATGATTAAAATTACAATACAATGTAGTGAGAAGACACCCAATTTACAACCCCACCGGGATTTCATGAGATTTCTTGTCAGATTTTTACAGCCTAAAATGCCGGATTTTTTTTAAAGGTCTTTGTTTTCATGAAATATTAGCATGTAACTATTTCTTTTCTACTTTTACACATTAAATGTGACAGTTTTTTTGGGGACTACTTAAATGCAAAAAACAAAACAAAAAAACACTAATATTTGAATAACTGATGGATTTATCGACAGCATACTCGATTCTAAATAGATTTGTTTGTGGCAGGCATACTGCTGCGGACACATTTGAAGTCCCCACTTCCCCACTTACGCTTTCGTCCATCTGAGGTGCAATCCTGACAGGTGACACCGGGCGAGGAGCATCTGGCGGAACGACGGACGCCGTCTGCTGAAAGACCGCTTCGGCCATCACGGGTCTCGGCTTCAATGAACCTGGTGGACGACAAGTGGCACGAATAAACTCGCACGGTCACTTTCACTCCATCAATTTTCCCCAGAGTCGGTGGCGTGATAAAAGTTTGAATGGCAGCTATGGGAAAGAAAATAGGATCTAGAAATAGTTCAGACAGTTTGGAGAGTCTCCACCTCCATGTGTGAGGCACTACTGCCATCTAGAGGTATCCACCACACACAACATGTACCAAAATGTATTGTCAAGTACTCAAAACATATTTATACTGCGCGTGAGCACACACAGCTGGGTGCCCTGTGAAAGTCAAATGTCGGCCCTCCAGTCTTGAGTCTGTGACCTCGATGTGAAAGATGCCCAAAGTAAATTTGTATTTGTCGTGATTTACCCCCATTGCTCTTCTTTCCTTTGGCTTCTTCCTTTGCAGCGACTTGCAGGACTTCACATTCGTCTGTGGGCATTTTAGCGACTTCAAGCAGAAAAAGCTTCTCCAGCGTCTGGGCCATGAAAACGATGTCATCTCCGGGCTGAGGACAGAAAAACGTACATGATCAAAACCACACTTCCCCCAAAATAAATAGATTGATAAATAAATTCATCGGGTAAAGTATTCACAGCACTTGACTTATTACAACCTCATTTTAAATTCATTGTTATCCTCTGCAAACAACACCCCAGTAATGACGAGGTGAAGTCAAGTTGAGATTTCGGCAGACTTATTGGAAAATAAAATCCTTTAACTTCATTCTTTTGTTTGTGCTCCGGCATGCAACTGCGTGACCTTATTTCGACAGGTGTGCACCTTTCCAAATCATGTTCTGAATTTACCACAGGTGGACTCCAATTAGCTAATTATGCATATCATTTAAAAATTTTACATTTATATTCAATGTACACACACGCGCACACACACACACAATAAACGAGGGATTGTTGTAAACTGTTTTGGGAATCACTTTGTGGTAAAGTTACGGTGTAAACAACTGATATGGACAATCATAATTACTCATTTTTTTCCACTCTTCTGGTTTACGAGCAGCCATGTACTCGTCACATTATCTCACCTTGTTGTACACATAGCAGTTGGTGAACATGGTGTTAAAGTCTTGTACGCATTCCATTGCTTTCCAGTAATATTTGTTCTGGAGTCGCCTCTTAATGGTGCCCATATCCATTGGATTCTTGATAATTGTGTAATAATCCTGGAAATGAAACCGTGAGAGGGGAGAGCATGACAGCACAACTCAACGGAGAGGAGGTTCGTGGAAAAAGTCGGGATGAGGAGGACTAACGCACGGGGAGACGCAGCGCTACGGCATCGACGGGCTGGCGGAAGGGCCATGAGAACTGGTGGCGCCACAGGGTTTTGACCACCGTCTTCTCCAGGTACTGCAGCTGGTTGGTGGTGCGTCCTGGTCGCTTCGGGTTGGCCACCTCGGGCGGAGGCGGGTTCCCGTTCGCGTCGGGACAGACTTCCACATGGGACATGGTGCCAGCCAACGGCCATTAAGAGGAATGGTCTCACATGCGCCTCCAATGCGACAAGGGGCTCACCTGGAATGATAAGTACGGTCTTTAACAATCATGCGATTGTTGGAAGACAGAAGCAAGTAGGTACGTCAGATAAATTACTTCCTAAGCTTTTTGTTCCCCCTGGTTTTGTGTGAATGGTACCAACAAGGACTAGTGGGCTGAAAGTTGGCCCTGTCATTGACAGACTTCTTTGTTGTAAAAGTTATTGAATGTTGAAAGATATTTGTTGGTATGACTGATTTTGTATGAGTGATTATAGCTGCAGTATTTTCAGTGATTCAGAGTACTGTATTATATTCTAAAGGCATTTGAAGAGTCTGAAACTTCATTAATTTAAATGCTTTATAAAAACAATATCAGAACTCCGTTTTTTCAAGCAATTGTACATTTTCATGATGCAAAAGAGAATCATACAACATTTATAAAAATGTGAAGATATGAATTAACAAATGTGTTGAATGTCTTGGACCTTTTCGTAACAATGCCTGGAGGACTTTGCATGATTTAGAAGACACTGGTGATGGGGAAATTCGGCGAAATTTTATTAAACTTGAAATTTGTTCAAACAGCGCAACTAAAGTCATAGTCGTGAAATTTGACCGATTCGTTTGCTGCTAGCTAGTACGCCAAAATCCTAAAGGTGATGCCGCCACGGCGACTTTATCATTTAGCTTTACTCCCACGACCACTCTTCGTCAACTTTGTCGTTATTTAGCTCAACTCTTGTAAAGTGGCGTTACCCACGCGCAATGTTTATCGAAGTGTTATGGCACTTAAAACTTGACCACTTCGGTCTCAAAACTGCACCGTTATAGAATTAGCAAGATTAGCTTAAAGTTTGTGCCAATTTCCACAACATTTCGGCAACGTAAAAAAAAAACCACGGCAAGATGGAGTTAAGTTCATATCTCCCTCGTCGTTTGATGTTTTAATAAGTTTATTGTAATTTTTTCGTATATTTACCCGACACCTGTAAGCGCCGGTGATGCAAAGCGAGAGCCGACGATTACAGGCGGTCGGTTTCGTTGAGCGTGATTTTATCTTTCTTTTTTAGGGACGCGTCCACCCATGTAAACAACTGCAAAGGAAACTTTGTCAAGGACTGAGTCAATCTTACCGCGCCAGCGTTAACTTTACACGTCACGGGAATCTTTGCATTCACCCTCTCGGTTGGCCGCAGAACCTCTGGAACAGTGGAGAATTTATAGCACGCCGCTTCTCGCGCTACAACTGATTGGCCCAAATTCTACACCACGTCTGCAACTTTACTCTTCTGCACCCCGATTTTATGGAATTAAGATGAATTAAAAAAAAAAATCCAATGCATTCTGTCACGCATAACCTTATACATAACGACGGGACAAAATGTTGAAATGGAGCTGTTGCAAACAGTATAGTAGTACAATTTATAAACCAGACCTCCGGGGAAATGTTAACACCGTAAAAAGCTGGAGCTCCGGAGCAGGTTGACCGGATAATAGCGCTGACTAAAGCGGACCTGTCACAGCTACACGCCGTCAAGTTACTGCAAACCAGAGCGAGCAAACTAATCCAGGCGCAGCGATGAATTCCGGATAAAACTCACCACTTCATTTTTTTGTTTCTAAAACAAACGAATAAATCAATAAAGCTACTTTTCTCTGTCAAACAAACAACTGGAATTTGTTTGGTCACGGCCTTAAGAATTAAAATAACGATGAGATGCCACGTGACATATAGACCTGATAAATCATTTTTTAAAATTATGTCGTCTTAATTTATGCACCGCGCAATTCCTGACCTGAACAAAGATGGCGTCCACATGAAGCGTACACATGACCTCAACCAACATGGCAGTACTACAAGTCAACACTATCATTGTACGATTTGTTCATATAGATCGCATTTAAAGCACTATCGACGTTCGCAGTGTCATCAAATGAGTGCTACTCACAGTTATGTCCAGCTTGTTTCTGCGAAAGGTTTACTGTTGTGTTTGTATGACGATTAATTATGTTATGTGATGTATTATCAACTTTTTGAAGCGGTCAGAGCTATAGCTCGAACCGCTAACTTTATTTTAAAACATAGTTGATCAAACATTAGTAGAACATGCTTCATGAAAGCTTGTCAAGTAAAGTTCCCAAACTCTTCATGGCTTGCTTATTTTCATCGCGTTAACACAACCGACACGGTACTGCGTAAGTGTCGCTTGTCTGTGACGTCAAACTGGGTGTGTCGTTAAAAAAAATGAAACAACTTGTCAAAAAGTGTTTTAACAGATCTGTGACGTCAAACTGGGTGTGTCGTTAAAAAAAAAATTAAACAACTTGTCAAAAAGTGTTTTAACAGCGACAATAAATAAAACGATGAATGATGATCAAACGTTGTTGAGATCATTTTACAAAAGCATAAATGTCAAATTCTTTATTTCTAAGCAAGGCTAGAGATTTATAAAGTGCACACTAAAACGAGGGGAAATGTTTTTGAAGCCGCATTTTTTTGTTTATGTACGAATAGTTTTCTTCATAAAGTGAAGTGATCAATGGCATACTGGTGACATTTATTCTCATTTTCATAGTAAAAGACATCTTTCAAGGAAAACAAAAAACAACACGACATGTTAATACGGGTGGACGAAGGATAGGGAGTTACTTTTATCGGATTATAAAAGCATCAAGTACTACATATTTGCTCTTTTTGTAGCCTAATTTTGCCATTGTGTGTGTGACATTCAAAGTCATAGTCAATAAATCCACAAGAGGGCGCCATGGTGGTTGTTGTTAACAAGATCCTTTCCTCTTTTGTGTCACTGTTTATGATAAAATATGAGGTCCATTCCAGAAATGCAAGACAATTTCGACCCCAACATTTTTGAAAACCAGACAATTTTGTAATTATATTTCATGTTTTCACTAAAAAAGTCAATAAAAAAATCATATGATTGAATTTATCCAAATCAAATTAATTTTGTTTGTTTTCTATTGGATTGTTTTGCTGTGTTTGGCTCAAAACGTTTACAGGTGTTCAGGCACCTGAAAAAAACGTTTACTATGTCAGGGTTTCAAATCATTGCTAATGTGAGAGTTTCTGCCAAAGAGTACATGGTAGCCATGTTGTCTGTTATGCTAACTGGTCAGAACAATTTAGCTCTAAAATACTGACCATACCAAACCATACCCAGAAAATCGAATTTAAAACCTACCTATCTGTTGGTCATCGAGTGGAAGGGACAAGAGAGAGTTCTTACAAAGCTACTTGGTATTATAACATAAAGTGCGAAAAAAAAAATAAAGGGATCATCAGGAGTTACATTGTGCTGTTTAAGTGTTCCCTTTATTTATTTTTTTAAACAGTATATTTTAAATAATTGACGAAATTCTGGAATGACCCACAGTCCCTGACAAATAAACAAATACATCAAACCACAGTTAATAAAGGCAATCCACAGTTTTAGTGTGTAGGAATATTTCAGCGAGGTGGTTCCTGGAACTAAATGTTAGCATCAGAATGCTTGTACTCATAAGAAGGCACATATGTAAAATGGAGTAGTACGGTTGTTGGGCGATGAGAGCCACATGCGGTTAACTTAATGTGACACTTCGACGAGGGTTCCATCTGAAGAGGGAAGCGGGGTGGGAGTCGGGGTGGATTTGCGGCTGGAGAGGTGGTGGTGGTGGTGCGGAGGGTCGGGGGGGACGCACAGCTGGATCATACATTAGCGAGCAGACCCAAACAAAATGGAGTCAAACACGTCTG